CCTGATGCTTTAATAAAATTTGTCGATGATGAATTATATAACAGATTAGGTCACGAAAATTATCATCTTAGAAGAGAACCTTTTGGTCAAGTTAGAGAGGTTAATACCAGAGTGATTACCAGAGCTAGTACTTCGGGTGCAAAAAAAGTATATACTACAAAGAAACCGCAGAAGCCTACTAAAGTTACTTACAAATACTCAAATTGTGGAAAAATTGGGCACAGAAAAAATAAGTGTCCTAAATTCGGTAAGAAACTGAAGAAGGTTAATTATACTTATCAATCCGAGCCAGAAAATTCTGATCAAGAAGATGAACCTATTGAAATATTAGAAGATGAAGACGAGGAAAATGACGAGGAGAATGAGGAAACCATCTCAAATACTGAACCACAAAATTGTTTTAACGTAAAAAAAAAGTCAGATTCCTGTAAAGAAGAAGCCTTCTACTAAGAAAAAATCGATCGTTACTTTGGAACAGGAAGTATTTCTTGAATCTCTTAAACATATGATATCCGAATTAATATCCCATTGTCCTAAGGAGATTCTTATTGAAGCTCGTGTATTTCTTAATAATCTGTTTATAAAGATGAAGGATCAGTTTGATTCATATTATAGTGAAAAGTATACAGTCAAAGAAAGAAATAAGGTATGGGAGAATATTGCGAAAAAATATCTAACTATTTTCCAACCACTTATTGAAATTATTAAAGACCAGACTCCAAACTTTTCGAGTCACAAAGAAACGAATCGCGATTATGAGCTTGTATCTTCATCAGAAAAACTTGACAATTCCATTATATTAAATCACGCTATTAAAGTATATCAGGGAGCGCAAATAAGACAAAATTGGCCTAACCCTTTTGAGATTGATTTTCTCGATATAAAAGAACCTAATGACATGGCAACGATTTCTTGTAGAATAGGTGACTTAATAATACCTCACGCAATTTTAGATACTGGCGCAGATGATTCATTGTTTACAGATAACATTTCCAAATATTTAGGGGTAAAAATAGATACGAAAAATGTTCACAAACTTATAGGTGCGGTTGGAGATTCCCAGTCTATTGGTACGTCATATAATATTCTTATATCTATAGATAGTGAAAACGATTCTATAACAGTTTCTGAAAAAGAAATATCTGTAATTCCCACAAAAAAAGATTGAAATGGAAATGATATATCCATAATGATACTTGGTACAAAATGGCAACATCATATCAGATGGGATCTTATAGTAAAAGGGGAATTTATAGCAACACACAATAGAAAAACTATTACAATTCCTCTTTCTACTCGCAAAAAATTACGCAATGCATTTGATACAGAAAAATTACAGGCATCAGAGGTAGACTCGAAGAGCCATGATTTGGAGAATCGCCTAACGACCTGTTCTGCAATAATAAAAAATACGTAAATTGTGAAAAATATGATGAACTCGAAAAGCGACTCATAAAAATTGAAGAGTGACTTGATATGGCCTTAAACGTAGGTAAAGTTCTTGTGGAAAGATGTTCCCAACTTACTGAGACAATGATGGATTTATAGGTGTCAATCTATTAGTATCTTTCATTAATTTTTCAAGATCCGTCTTTCTTTTCGATGTATTATCTATGGAAGTAGAGCTTCGAATCTTTGTTTTTGTCCGCTTATTTGGTCGTGTTCGTTTTTCAGATACATTATCACTTTGCATGCCCATAGGGACGTCTCTTTGAGACATGGGATAAGCACTATCCCCATCTAAAACCTGGGACTCTATATGAAATATATTTCCAATGGGATTTGATATATTGGTATCATGATTAGAGTTATCATTATTATCATTTAAGTGAGGTATAGGTTGATCCCAAAGAATTCTATTAGATTCTTCTCCTCTCCAAATCTGATAAATACGTTTTGTCG